AAACAAAATCCCAAGGCACACATATCACCCATGTGAATGAGACTCCACATCTGACAGAAACTGGCCTTGTATACATAAACAAAATCCCAAGGCACACATATCACCCATGTGAATGAGACTCCACATCTGACAGAAACTGGCCTTGTATACATAAACAAAATCCCAAGGCACACATATCACCCATGTGAATGAGACTCCACATCTGACAGAAACTGGCCTTGTATACATAAACAAAATCCCAAGGCACACATATCACCCATGTGAATGGGACTCACTTTTATTTCAGTACAAGGTTATGCCCTTGAGGGTTCATCCAACATGGCAGCAAAAATACTGCTGTCTATATTGGTACAACATATGTGTAATTTCTGCCATCTTTCCTGCTAGAGAGTTCATGTGATGCCACTGGTGAAATGTGTAACTAAGGTGATGATAATGTAGTTGTTTCCTCAGCCAACTTTCTATATCAGGAGCTAAACATACTCGGTGTGTACAAATATTTTTAAAATTACTAAAGATTAATTAAGAGGGAAGAAAACTTACAGTAAATTTGAGTGGTGTTTTATCTTTTCAATATATATATATATATACATATTTCCAACCCATTAGCATTTGCTAGTAGGTTACTTTTAACAACTAAAATTTCTACACCAAACTGTACATAAATCTAAAACTAATAATTTTAGTATATTATACTACAAATACTTACAACTATATAAATAATATAGTAACATAACTAAATATCCAAAAAAATTGTAGAGTGAAATTAACCAACTATCTAAAAACAAACAGTACAGTAATAATAACCAACTATCAAAAAACAGACAGCAAAGAAGATTGAAAAAAGAAAATAAATACAGCAACAATACCAGACAATGTTCTTACCAAGTTTTAGAGAATATCAAAGACCAGATATGCGAGCCTTTCTCTTTCATTTTGGGTAGGTCAATAAAGTGAACAAGGGCTTGAGGATTGTTTAAATGGGTATGTTAAACATATTTTTAAATGGGATGATAAAAGTTTGCCCTGGAAATTATAAGCCTGAAGTGGGAAAATTTCTAGTCTGATAAAAAAGAAAACATTACAAATTGATTCAGTGAAATATGATATCACAAAAGACAACTAACAAGAATTCACTAAAGAAAAATACTGCCTTACTAATTTGTTAATTTTTTTAGGATGTTACAGCATCCTTGTGTGGATGATGGAAAGGAAATGAACTTGGTGTACTTAGATTTTCAAAAGGCTTTTTCTAAAGTGTAACAAAGAAGGTTAATTAAGACAATCACATCAGCGGTGGTTACAAAAAAACTAGTTAATTGGATCGAAGGGTGGCTGGATGAAAGAGAGAAATGTTATTTATGGTGTCCAGTCCTACTGGACCTTTGTTACTAGCACTGTACCTCAGGGATCATTACTTGGATGTTTGTTTTTTCTTATTAACACTAAGAACATTGACAGTGGCATAATTAATACACCAGTAAAGTTTGCAAATGACATTCAACTTGGATATGTCCAGCTCTATTGAGGATAATCAAGTACCACACAATAACTTGAATCATTTTACAAGTTTAGCAAATGATCTTAAGTTATTGAAGATCATTGAAGATGATGGTTATCATAACTTGGACCACACATTTAACAGTAGCAAATATGTCATTTAAGCCATCGAGACAGTGCTCTGTTGCTAGCAGTGAAGCTAAAAAAATTGTAGGATATATATATAGACATGCTGATTGTAAGTTAAAAACATTTAGTTATTTCTAAATATATCATTTTTTGGGCCTCAATATATTATTGTCAAAATTTCTCCTTTCCTCTTGACAACAGAAGGATAAGCAACCAGCCAAATGCCAAAGGGGCCTAAATTTTGAGGTTAATGACCATCATGACATTAAACATTACAGCATATCTAATAACATGGATCTATATATATCTAATTTACTTTTAAGCCTGTTGTGGATGTCAAAAGTCAGTCCCTCTCCCTGGGATCTTAACTTTCTCTCTATTGGCCAAGAGCTACTCATATAAATGCCAATATTGAGTTAGTGATGAAAATAGCCAAAGCAAAAATTTTCTAAAATGGCAACTATTAAAATACATTAGTTTTATTCAAATATTATCCACTAAATGGTACATGACTTAGCTTATTCTCCAGGTGGCAATTGAAACTGAGAGAAAACAGATGTTGCAAGTGTAATAAATGTGATAGAAAAATTATGAATTTCACACCTAAAAGGCAACAGTTTCATCTTATAATTTTAAGTTAACATTGTAACAATAAGTTTCCTTATGGATATATAACACAACGTTTTAATCTGTTGCATATTTAACAAGCTACCCACTCAAAGACTGCACTATTGGTAATTTTACATTTCTTACCTGTTAAATACCAAGTATAACAATTTATCAGCCATCACGGATAACACCTTCTTGGATACCATTTAACACAAGGTTCTCTGAAAAAAAAAGAAGAACTACACTAATGCTGTCAATAACTGATGAAAAGCCTTCTGATATGGTGACAATACTCATGAGTATGCAGACATATGTAGAGATATGTCACATGAAGTATGGTAACCTTACATGATCCGATCTGTGGACCAACATGTTTTTACTATTGCTCAGCAAGTATACATTGAAATTATTTATAATGAAAATCAACTTGCATCACTGACACATTAAATGCATGTATCACACCACATTAATGAAAATTTGGTAGTTCGGGATATTAATATTGAGATTTGGCAATAATTGAATTTAATCTTAGTAGTAGTGTATCATGATGGTAACACTTGCACCACCTAGTACCATATTCTCCAATCAATAGTGGTACTGTACAATACCAGCTCCTAACATTGATACCTTATGAAGTGCATTCTGAAACACACAGCAAGGTGTCATGAATCACAGAGATCGACAAGTTAGTTCCGACAGTAGGTAATGTTGTAAAATTACCATGAAAAAGTAGATTTTGCCCTAAAGTTATCAATTCAGGCAGTGCTGATTAGATACGTAATGGTGGAGAGTTCACATTGATAAAGCAGTATTTATCAATGTGAATTACTTGCGTGTTTTTTAATCTTTAACAGTGCAGAATGTTACAATTTCTTACAGGAACTCCATTAATTAATAGTCTGCCTAGTTCATATAAGAATTTCAAGTGTCAGTAGAAAATATGTCTTTGTAGTAGTGTAAACATACGAAGTGCAACTTACAGGGACTTTCACACTGCAGTGCAATCAAGCTAATAAATGTATTTATTTTATACTGAATAACTTATAAATCCATTTCTTAGTCACCAGGGCAAAGCATGTTGTAGTTTTAGTTTGGAATGCTGTAGTACTCTTGCCTTGGTATCATAACGTGTGGTACCAGAAAATGTTTGGTGATACTAGATCAAAAACATTTCATATCACAGAAGTTACTAGAAAAAAATTCAATTTCTACAATGAAGCAAGTCGAGTGGTCTCAGTAAGAAACTGTTCAAAATCATGTCCAACGTTTGCTGTTTGTGTTTACCTTATTTGGACTAAATTAGTAAATAATACCGTAACTTTAATTTAATATATTATTTACTGTACTTTTTACAAGCTACAAAAGTGACCAGTGTAACTTAGGGTAAGACTGCTTTAATAAAATAAATGTTACAAGTTAATATTCATTATTCTTTATTGCTCAAAAAACAAGTTAATTGCTGAATAACTTGCCCATTTAACTATGTCAAAACTTACTAAACATGGACAGTCTAACAATCCATAAAACCATTAAGCCTATTGACATGAACATGACTGCAGTTTTATTATGAATAATTCTAACTAGATAAGAAGCACTGAAAAGGAAATACAAAATGGCTGTTGCCACATACAGCTTAATTGTGTCCTAGTACAGTAAGTTTTAAGTTGTTTGATTCAGAGATTTTTTGGCACTCTTCTGTGTTTGAATGGTTTCTACCAGCCTATACTGTAAAATATAAGCATATTAATAATTTTAATGTTGGTATCAACAATGCACATTGTTTTTTAGAAAATTCTTAATTACTTTTAAGTTTTTCACATGGATGTTGGGACTAGAAAAATTCCAAAATATATGTGTAATTAAACTTTTTACTTTGAAATTTATATTTCTTACAGCACTTCAATTTCCACCTTATGAATTGTTTCAATCTCTGGAAGAGGTCATCTACTATCATGACAAGTATTCTTGCCAAAAAGAGTGAATGTTGAACTGTTTGTTTTTTGATGATCAGTGAGTATATGTTTCAGTTTTACTGAATTATACATTATCTATCTCATATTCTGACAAGAATCTTTAGTTTTATCATACAAAATCTATGAACAATTTTAACGAAGAATTAGTTTATTTAGTTTTATTATAGTAGTGTTGATTTAATAGTACAGAGACCTATAACCTACAACTGCAATAAAAGTACAAGTTCAGCACATAGGCAGTGCTGTCCAGCCTGTTACTATTCTATGAAAAACTGCTTTTAATTTTCATTTCATATCATTCCTTCATCTATTTTAAACTTTTATGTACTAGATTACAGTTTTTTTTGAGTATTTCCAGTCTCTCATTCCATGACATTCTACTTTCTTCTAGTAAGAAATGTTGTGAGGGGTTTTAAGATTTGCACTAGGAATTTAATGTTAATTAATGTTTATAATTGGCTTTTTACCCCCAATTATAATATTCACTAAGAGTAAGAGTGAGGAAGACTGTCCCCTTAATAACTAACACGATAATACTTTGAAGTTTTAAGGTTAAACTATATCAAATTTAAAAATTAAGATTTTGTCTCAGTTTGATATTGTCAACTGACAGCTCTTTGGCCTTAAGACAAGTTACGTTAATGGAAAACGAAGTTGGATAGGCAAAGCTGTGTGTGAAACTAGAAAATATGATTTACTTAACTGTTAGATTTACAAATCTGCAAATTACACTTACGTATTTACACAATTTAACCTTAGATTTTATGAGTCATCTAACTCTACAAAGTTATCTTACGCTTGGTGACAGGTCTCAAAAGAAACATTATAAATATTACTTACTTTAATTAACTGTAGTTAGTAATATTAATACCATTGCACTCCATTTCATTCAACTTGTTATTAAGTGACTTCGTAAGCAATAACTTTAACTACCAGGTGTCGCTGAAATATAAGAACTGTTTTGAAATTAACAATTTAGACGCTCTTCTTAATGAAAAATTTTCTTTGTTTGTTGTAGAGCAAAGTCACATTGGGCTATCTGCTGTGTCCACCGCGGAGAATCGAACCCCGGGTTTTACAGAGGCGTAGCCAAGAGGGCCCAAAAGGACCAGGTCCCCTGAAAAATCTAGGCATATTGATCACATATTAATTTTCATCTTTTATATATATTTAATTCGTTTTGTATCATTTAATTTAAAACAATTAAACTTCTATAAACACTAATACATTTGATTTTATTTGTTTTAATGACCATTTTATTAAAAATTTAAATCAACTTTAGCTTTTTAATTTATAATTTAATTTAATTAATCATATCTTAATCTACACACTGAAATTTCGTTCTTACATGACATCCTGAAACGTAACTGCTATCCACAACACTTA